TATCGCATACGTTTGGAAAATTGGATTTCGATATGAAACTATCGTAAACTGATCTAGATCCTTTAGTAGGTTTATTAAGATCATTCCAAGGGGAACTTATCGATACCTTTGTTATGTTTGGGTTTCCAGCAGTTTGAATGACTTCTTTCCATTTTGGGGGAATACTGACGATGACGCGATTTATGTCAAGTACTGTGCCCTTAATATCAAATTTTGTTTTAAGTTCTGCGAATGAGAGTACCCCTTAGTCATTGAAAATGTATTTAATATTAACAATTCCTTGTTTGAACCAGTTATTGATTATCAAATATGTGTTGCGAAACTGGTGATTTAACCAGAGAGGTTGCATAACAATTTCGTTTATGTTGATATGATTCACTACATACCCCTTTATATATCTATGCCAGGCATCAAGTGCATCTTTATCTCACATACTTCCCGCTATCTTATTATCGAATCCTAAGAATGAATCAACTTACCCGCTTTTCTACATATCGCCATATCGCAATGTCGCTGTTTCGCCATATCGCAATGTCGCTGTATCGCAATATCGCAATATCGCGTCGCCATATCGCATAACGCCTTTTCGCGTTATCGCCATATCGCAATGTCGCGTCTGTTTATCGCCATTTTGTGTCGTAATATCGCCATTTCGTGTCGTGTTATCGCAATGTCGTGTCGAGTTGTTGCCATTTCGTGTTGCGTTATCGCTTTATCGTGTCTTGTTATCGTCATGTCGTGTCGTGATATCGCTATTTCGTTTTTGTCTGTATCGCAATATCGCTATATCGTGTCGCCATATCGCAATATCGTGTCGTGCTATCGCTTTGTCGCGATATCGCCTAGATTTCTTCAGGGCGATAAAGCGATGGCCCGAATGAGCCACCATAGAAAACATCGTAACACTCGGAAACCTGGATGATTGTGGCAACTGTGGTAATCGTTGTGGGAATGAGCGTGGTGAAAACTACATTTAACTGGATTGTTAAGTTCGGTTTGAAGTTGTGTTAATTTTTGATCAAGTGTTTCGCAATGTGTTGGATCTGAATGTTGTAAATATTTACTGAAATATGACCAGTCATCTCTGATATGTCCTGACCAGGTCAAGGTGCTGTCTAAAATCTCAGGGCTTTTTTGAGAGTGGGGGAACTAGTTAAAACTAATAACCACAGTGTTGATGTTAAATTGTTCTATTCCTAGTTTAATTTGTGCCAAATATTATTTTAATTTTTATTTCGTCATGTTTAAAAGTTTTTATTATGGTTAATCAACCATACAGATTTTGTTGTGGTTTTGCTTTATAAATCAAGCATTAACTCGATTATATCGATTATAAGTACTTTTTTGTTTAACATATTGCAATACATATTGCAATTTATGCTTTCATACGGAAGCGTAGTAGGGCCACGTTGGACATAGTATCTCCTACGTAGGAATCAGTATCTCCTACGTAGGACTTAGTATTTTCTACGTAGGACTTAGTATCTCCTACGTAGGACATACTATATCCTACGTAGTACTTAATATATCCTTTTTAAGGATGGTTATTAAGTTGATAAATGTTTGGCTATGCAGGACGTTAGATAGTCGAAATGTGAGTCAGTGAATATTCATGACACTAACGCAGTGTTACTATACAGTGTTATTGTGTGTGTATTACGTTAGGGCGACGTGGACCCTGTTCTTATTGCAGTTATGGAGGTTTGGGCATGGTTATGTTTAATCTATCATACATACATCTATTCACACACACAAACACACACACACACACACACACACACACACACACACACACACAGAGGTGAGTGGGATGGTTGGGGTGAGGTTGTCATATGAAACTCGGGTTATAACACGACCTCCGCAAGTTGTTGCTTGTCTTGATGGGGCTAGGTTGGATCGGATGCAACGCTCGTTTGCGGTTTTATTCGTAATTGTTTACAGGTTGACTTGACTGGGGTGGACAAGTGTTGAGTGCGGCGTAAAACAATACGAAATTCAAAAAGGCCAAGAATTGTCATTATAGTTATTTGTATAAATATAAGGGGATACGTACACATGGATTGCCACCGATAGTCTAAGACACGTCTGTACACGCAGATTACGATTCATGTGCAACGACCTCTGAAATATCCAATGCATAATAGTAAAGTGTAACAAAGTGCAACATATAACAGTGAACTAACTGCAACGCGTAATAGTAGAGCAAACTGAACGCAAGGCAGTAAAGTATAACAGTCGGTCCAACACAGTACTAATGTGCAACAATTAGTTGAACACATGACTCTAATAGTGACTGACTGACTGACTGAGTTTGGTTTTACGCCGCTTTTAGCAATATTCCAGCAACATCACGGCGGGGGACACCAGAAATGGGCTTCACACATTGTGCCCATGTGGGGATTCGAACCCGGGTCTTCGGCGTGACGAGCCAACGCTTTAACCATTAGGCTACCCCACCGCCCATCTCTAATAGTGAAGGAAACAGTAGACTCTAATAGTAAATTGAAACACGTGATAGTAGACTCTAACAGTAAATGAAACACATAGCTGTAGACTCTAATAGTGAATGAAACGAATGACTGTAGACTCTTACAGTGACTGAAACAGTGAAACAGGAGATTTTGTGCGTGGCTGGGGCTTTAAGTCGACCGTTTCAGATTAATCCATATAAACGTATATCGATCATCTCCTACAGGAAATATTAAGTGCTACGTAGGAGATACTATGTCCTACGTAGGAGATACTAAGTCCGTAGGAGATACCCACTTAGGAGATACTAACTCCTACGTAGGAGATGCTAAGTCCTACGTAGGAGATATTAAGTGCTACGTAGGAGATACTAAGTGCTACGTAGGAGATAGTAAGTCCTACGTAGGTGATACTAAGTCCTACGTAGGAGATACTAAGTCCAACGTAGGAGATACTAAGTCCTACGTAGGAGATACTAAGTCCTGCGTAGGAGATACTAAGTCCTACGTAGGAGATACTAACTCCTACGTAGGAGATACTATGTCCTACGTAGGAGATACTAAGTCCTACGTAGGAGATACCCACTTAGGAGATAGTAAGTCCTACGTAGGAGATGCTAAGTCCTACGTAGGAGATATTAAGTCCTACGTAGGAGATAGTAAGTCCTACGTAGGCGATAGTAAGTCCTACGTAGGACTTACTATCTCCTATGTAAGTACTACGTAGGAGACAGTAAGACCAAAAAAAAATTTCACCGTGGCCATACTACGCTTCCGTACTTTCACGTTGCAATATATTGCAATATGAACATTCTCTGCAATACCCACCACTAGTAGTGATATTGACGCTCCAAATATTGTCCTTAGGTTCAGCTTCACCTTGTTACATCGGGAGACGATATACGAGCCAGAAAGTCATATTTTTTCATGGGGGTAGTAACATAGGGAAGTATATTTGGGACTGATTATAACTATTCAACCATACTGTTTCTAATATTGTGATTCACATCGAGACACAGAGGAAAATGTAGTTCCTGTTGAAATACACCCAATAGCTTGGTTGGACAGTGAGCTATTTTCCTTCGATATTTGAACTCGTACTGATAAAGCTAAATCGTTGACACCGGAAATGGCCTTCACACATTGTACACATGCGTGGCCTCAGAGGAAGCTATCTGTACATGTGTGAACAACAATGTCAACTATGAGTGAATGCATGTGAATATCTGAGGCTACGGAAAAATGGGAATGCCCCCAGTCTTGTATCTGAGCGCTTCCCATTTTCGGGAGAGGTGGTATGTTGTATGAGAATGAAAGAGGGCGGATCAATTAATGAAACTTTCCACCACAAAGAGCGACTGATAAGAATAGCGAAGGCAAGGTTTGTATACACCAGAAATGGGCTTCACACATTGTACCCATGTGGGGATTCGAACCCGGGTCTTCGGCGTGACGAGCTAACGCTTTAACCACTAGGCTTACCCACCGCCGCCATGGCATACTGCCATAGCAGTAGCGATTGCACTGCATGTACCCCTAGAAAAGGTTGACCCCTTTGATATTAAGGGCTAGCTATCGATATAGACCATAAAGATCGATAATCGTTAAATGAATATCGATCGACTATCGATAAATATCGGAGAAATAACTTTGGGCAAAAAATGCCAAAAACGTCTGAATGACATGAATAAATTTCACATGAATGGTGAGTGCTGACATGTTTATGGGTGGATTACTAACACAACAGCGTCCTGGACATAGTTTAGGAGTGAGTGAATGAGTAAGTAAGGTTTTACGCCGCCGCAATATTCCAGCAATATCACGGCGGGGAACACCAGAAACGGGTTTCACACATTGTACGCATGTGGGGAATCGAACCTAGGTCTTCGGTGTGACGAGCAGACGCTTCAACCACTAGGCTACCACACCGCCCCCTCATGTTTAAAATACACTAAATCATCTTTATAATATCCTAAAAGGAGTTGTAAAACTATAAGACTAAATATATACTAAAAGTGATTGTGATTTATTGCATGTATGTTTACTGCCTTTCGAAGGTGATTGTATACCCTATAATTTTAATTGATATATCGTGTTTAAGTTGCAAACTAGCACAGGTGATGTCGAGGTGGCTTTTAACTCACCCAGTGCATTCAAAACTTCTTGAACCCTCTCACAAAACAATCATATTACTGATACACGTGCGCATTCTCCAGTATCTTGGCAGGTTTGACCCGGTATGGTTACTTAATGCAAAGACAGGTCCCAGGTGTAGCGTTCACGAGTCTCTTGCATGCTTATTGCAATGTCACTAATACAATAAAACAAATCCTTCTACCGCATACAATCTCTCTAACAAAACCCCCACCCCACCCACCCAACCCCCACCCGGATGGGGGTAGACATTACACTATTACTCTGTGGGCATGTATCATTTATAACGAACGACTTACGACTTCATGGCGTCAGCACCGCGCGCGTGACTTGTCTACCGCCTTGCCGACGGGTTACCGAGAGGTTATCTTCGACTAACCATGAGTGTACAGTTAACAGCTTCACTGTTGTACGTCCGCATTTCTTCTGCAACACAGACGTATTTTCGCTGTGTGAAGGTTCAAGTATCCTGTTTTCCTGATCTGGATCTAATGTTCAAGGTAGACGATAATACCACTGGACTGAATACATCCTCTTTCATGGTATTCTGTTTGAATATCATTTGACTGAAATAATCCGTCTTTGTGGTATTCTACTTGGCGGATCTTGGTCTAATGTTACGGGTGGACGAGAATACCACTAGACTGAATTAATCCTTGGTATTCTGCTTAGACTATCTGGGTCTGCCAATGTGTAGGATGTTCAGGGTTGACCTCAGCGGTGACGAGGAGGCATCCAGAAGATGTCAGCTAAAGGGAGAGTACAGCCTTTGGGTGAAGGACTCAAGCTTTTGCCTCTGCGACATTACATCCGACCACGTCTTGTATGAATGGCCGTACTCTTACATACGCAGGTTTGGGAAAAAGAGACAGGCGTTCTATTTTGAAGCCGGAAGAAGATGTTCATCTGGGGAAGGTGTTTTTACGATGAAAACAAACCAACATATTCAAATCTTCCAAGCTGCTAAAGAAAAAACGACATGGAAATCACCAAAAGAACATGCAGTATTGCCAAAGACCACTTTGGATGGTAAGTTGCTGATATTTCAAGAAGTGAAACAATATGAGCATATTAATTCACTACAACTGTAATATTTAAAATATAAGGAAATGTAAATCAGTGAATTAGCTATTATTTTATTTAACAGGATGCAGAGAAATTCCAGCTTACGAAAATCTGCTCAAAGAAGACGTGGAACAGAAAGCTGTCGGGGCTGATGACAGTGATCACACGTACGTGAACCTCAACAGCCTAAAGGAGCAATACTTTGCGAGACGTCACGTGGATAAAGTTGTCGGTGCTTACAGCGAACCAGACACCACAGGTACATACTTAACGGCTATTCCAGACAAACAGGAATACCGAAGAGCGATGTCAAAGGATGCCATATCTTCTACGTCTGATATAGAACACGTATACAGCGTGCCATACAGTACCTAGACTGAAGCAATTAGCGAACAGTTCTGTTGTTAAACATGGTATGTTTATATTTGACCTACTTACAAAAACATCTAAACGTTGAGAAAGTTATATCAGGATGCCCCGTGAAGCTCCAGGTTGAAACTGACCTTGTGTAACTAAGCTCTTCGTTGTCGGGATCAGGTTGTCGTTGACTAGGTTGATGCATGTCATCGTATTCCAATAGCGCTGATCGATGATTATGATGTCAATCACATGATTGTCTGGTCCAGACTGGAATATTTACAGCTGGAACATTGCTGAATGCGACAGTAACAACAAAAGAAACAGCAGCGTTGTTTGTCGTAAGAGGCGGTTTGTCATCGCCATAACTGCTCGTAGGTTTCTGCTTGCACCATGTCCGCCGTTCCTTTCACATTAAGCTGAAGCACTGTGATATAAGTGAAATACTGTCCAAAGCGGTTTTAAACTCAACAGGAACTAACATGATCGACCGGTCAGTATGGTTGACGTTGTTGTGTCATCGTTTCCCAAATGCAGAGATCGTTCAGAGGTGAGGTGAAATGGAATTTAACGTCATGCTAGAGAAAATATTTCGCTCATATCACGACGTGCATGCATGTGTATGTGTATGTGCGGCTGCTTGTACTAGTCCAGACTTCAACTGGTTTTATAGTGCTAGCCCACTGTGATACCATGCCGCAGTTAAGCATGAATACCCCACTCAGACACATTTTACTGGCTCCGAGCCGACCAGTCCTTTTTCTACCCATTAATAACGAGCGCCAGGCAAGGACCAACGAGTACCATATTTTAACGTCTTTTGCTATGAAGATCGTTCAGAGGACCTCAGTCATTTGATTGATGCTTCCTGAATTAGCTCAGACGCTAGCCCACTTAACACAGAGTATACAGTAGTTGTTTTCGTGTTAACGAGTCCGTTAATGTTGAATGTGAGAGACAAACGATACTCACATATTTTTGTCAAGTCTCCTTACACTCTTCCCCCATTGTCTTATTATTGAGTGGATTAGTCATTGCTCCCCACATTGTTATTACTTAGCCCATTTCTAGTGTTCTATTTCTGAGTGTTTATTCCCCCCTGAAGATCTGGGTTGGAATTGGTTTTCAGTAACGCATGCTTGTCGTAAGAGAGACTAACGGGATGGGGTGGTCAGGCTCGCTGACTTGGTTGACACATGTCATCGTAAGAAAAATTGCGAAGGTCAATGCTCATACTGTTAATCACTGGATTGTCCGGTCCAGACTCGATTGTTTGCAGACCGTCGCCACATAGCTGGAATATTGCTGATTGCGACGTTAAACTACCAACGAACTCAGTGTTTGTAACATGTCATCCGTCAGCTTTACACCTGCCTGTTGTATCCGCCTGGGGACAATTGGAGGTCCACTACTTCCCGATGTTCTTCATGACTTGTCTACTCTTGAAGATCCGGGTTAGGGTTAGGGTTAGGGCTGAGGGTTTAGGGTTTAGGGTTAGGGGTAGGGTTGGGGACCTAATCCAGTATAGCAGGTACATGTCCGGTGTAATACGTGAGTACCATTTGTTGTTTTTCCTTTTTGTGTTTTAATACTTTTTTTTCACACAAAAACGGGAAACCAAAAACGTCGAAAGTACATTATGAAATGGTTTAATGTAGAAATTTTGGGCTAATGGAAATTGGTCTGGAATTTGCACTCAAGCTTACACATGCTCATGTCTCCCTCGTTCTTTAGTGCGATCCACATTATCCTTACAGTGTTCCCTACATCACTTTTCTGTCACTAAATCTCCGATTTATATAAAAGCGTGTCATTCATGCATGCACCGTGAAATCTACGTCTGACGCCTGACGTCAACAACCCTTTTCAGTTTGAGGCATATCGGCTCATTCCACGCCACACGTTAATTTGTAGATTACGGAATGGGACGAGTGTGCCAAATGGCATCGGATCCATTCGGCAATTGTCCGGAGAATAAAATCACGAGACACCAAGTCTACCCGTAGCATTCGTAATTGTCCGTGACCTATTCGACTCTTTCCGTTCATAAATTTGCACATTGTACAACAGTGTGGACGTAGCTCAGTCGAGCTAACAATCCGAAGGTCGCGGGTTCGCGTCCGACGGGTTCTCACAAACTGGTTGCTTGTCTTAATGACACGTGACCTACGGCAGAGATCGTCGTCACGAGAAGTTGTGGTGCTGTATTCTAAAGGTGCTCCCCTTTATTGTCTGATAATGTAAACATTTTTTCGATTGTTCTAACCGCTAGACATTTTAGAATGTACTATATTTGTCCATGTCTACACACACGTCCTCCACTAAGGGACTGCAGGAGCCTGTTTGTGGTTTACTGTACTATATTTGTCCATGTCTACACACACGTCCTCCACTAAGGGACTGCAGGAGCCTGTTTGTGGTTTACTGTACTATATTTGTCCATGTCTACACACACGTCCTCCACTAAGGGACTGCAGGAGCCTGTTTGTGGTTTACTGTACTATATTTCTCCATGTCTACACACGTCCTCCACTAAGGGACTGCAGGAGCCTGTTTGTGATTTACTGTACTATATTTGTCCATGTCTACACACGTCCTCCACTAAGGGACTGCAGGAGCCTGTTTGTGGTTTACTGTACTATATTTGTCCATGTCTACACACACGTCCTCCACTAAGGGACTGCAGGAGCCTGTTTGTGGTTTACTGTACTATATTTGTCCATGTCTACACACACGTCCTCCACTAAGGGACTGCAGGAGCCTGTTTGTGGTTTACTGTACTATATTTGTCCATGTCTACACACACGTCCTCCACTAAGGGACTGCAGGAGTCTGTTTGTGGTTTACTGTACTATATGTGTCCATGTCTACACACACGTCATCCACTAAGGGACTACAGGAGCCTGTTTGTGGTTTACTGTACTATATTTGTCCATGTCTACACACACGTCATCCACTAAGGGACTACAGGAGCCTGTTTGTGGTTTACTGTACTATATTTGTCCATGTCTACACACACGTCATCCACTAAGGGACTACAGGAGCCTGTTTGTGATTTACTGTACTATATTTGTCCATGTCTACACACACGTCCTCCACTAAGGGACTGCAGGAGCCTGTTTGTGGTTTACTGTACTATACTTGTCCATGTCTACACACACGTCCTCCACTAAGGGACTGCAGGAGTCTGTTTGTGGTTTACTGTACTATACTTGTCCATGTCTACACACACGTCCTCCACTAAGGGACTGCAGGAGTCTGTTTGTGGTTTACTGTACTATACTTGTCCATGTCTACACACACGTCCTCCACTAAGGGACTGCAGGAGTCTGTTTGTGGTTTACTGTACTATATTTGTCCATGTCTACACATGTACTATGTCCTCCACTAACGTACTGCAGGAGATCCACCATTACCTGACCTTCTTCATCATTCGCCCTTTCTGCTGCCGTCTCCCGAAACTTGTTCCCAGTCCACAATCTTCCTTGAGAGAGAAACTCAACCATCTCCAGATTTCCTCCATCATATGCCAAGTGAAGGAAGGTTTTCTCACTTACAGTCACTAAAAAATCATATGCTTCGATCACTCGGAAATCTACCAGTTTTGTGTGTCCCCGCCATGTTGCCTACATCAGGCTCAACCACCCTCTGCGATCCCCTGTTCTGCTGACTTCACAGAGGTCGCGGTCCGCCCTGGGGATTTCATGTGCGGCAGTTAATTATAAGAATGCTTAATAATAATAATAATATTGAGTGAATTTGTAAGGCACCGATCTCCACGCCAGCTGGTATGCTCATGGCGCTACAAGTAAAGTTATTTGGGTGAGAGTCTAGACAAAGTACTTCTTAAATAAAAACGTTTTGAGGAGAGTTTTGAAGGAGAGCAGTCTTGGGACTGTTTTGAGATCGTAAGGCAGAGAATTCCATAGAACAGCTGATTGGTAGGCAAATGATCAGAATCCAAATCGTTTTAGTCTGTATCTAGGCTCTGTGCACAGAATTTGGGGCTGGGATCTGCGAGTTCTGGTTGGATTATACTGGCTTACAAGTTCACACAAATAGGATGACGCGATAGCGTTGAGGCACTGGTATGCGAGTACAAGAACTTTAAACTCAATTCTAGCTGAGATGGGCAGCCAGTGTAGGGATCGTAGAAGTGGCTGTATATGTGCAAACATTGGAGCAAGACACACAATTCGGGCTACAGTATTTTGTATTTTTTGTAACTTTGAAACAGATTCTTGTGACACACCACACAGTAGGCTATTGCAATAGTCTAGGCGTGAAATATCAGTGTTCGAACTGATGTAGCGTCAGCTCCCTGGGGTATAAGATACCTTACTTTACCGATGTTTCTTAAATGAAAATGTCATTTTCGACATAGCTGTTGTATATGACAATCCATACTCAATGTGGACTCCATCAAGACACCCAGATTCCTAACCACAGGTACAAATGGTATACTTTCGTGACACACAGACAGGTGCTTAATCAGTTTGGTTTCATTGACTTGACAGAACTACACCCCAGTGCAATGCACCGGGTAGGAATTATTTTGCATTGGTTATACATGTTTATTATTGTGTCCTACATATATTTGATTGAGCAGTACATTGCATTCAGATGCCTTTACCCTTGCCACATATATTTCATTCGTATTTCAGACTTATATTAAGGAGTTATCGCCCCTTGTAGTTCTAGGATCCAACTGATTATTATTTCATCTAATAATGTAATGACCTATTATAAAATCTCAGGTATATAGTATGCTATTGTATTCATTTATTTATGTATTGTTTCCGGGTATATGTTCTTATACAATGGAATAAACGTTCTCACTCCCTAACGAGTGTCCAGGAAGTTTTATTTTCACACACTATTCCGGTTAATGGTGAACGACAAGGTTGTGTATTTGCATGGCTGAAATGTTTCTTTAACATTCAATGGTTTAACATTATTTTGTGTATATCTTGAGAATATGTCTTAGTGACTCTATTGTAGTGACAAAGAGCATTGGGACGTTTTCATTAAGGTGCCCGGCTTGCATGAATGACGAACACACTGACTGTGTGAACTCGCTTGGCTGTTCTGATTCACTGTTGACCGTTACCATAACTTGAGGCATTGATTTTTCATTTAATAAAATTTCATTCGCGGATTTCTGATTTTGTTTGTTGTTTGTGTATCAGAATAATCTTTCCTTGGAGTAGATTAAGTAATATATTAATAGCATTTAGATTGTGATTGGAAGGACATAGGGAAAGCATACACTTTTTCATCAGCTCAGGTTGTTACAAAATGTGAAAACTTAACAAAAACTAATAAATCCTACAACACAAGCACACGTTATAGTGTCAATTTGGGTTAATGAAACACTGACTGACTGGCTGAGTTTAGTTTTACGCCGCTTTTAGCAATATTCCAGCAATACCACGGCGGGGACACCGGAAACGGGCTTCACACATTGTACCCATGTGGGGAATCGAACCCGGGCCTTTGGCGTGACGAGCGAACGCTTTAACCACTAGGCTACCCCGCCGCCCCTTATAAGGCACTCTATAAACGATGGCTGTAACAGTCAACATCAGTGTCTAATGAACAAAATACAGCTCTGACAGTCAGTTCAC